CTGTGCGGGCTGCGTTCCGCTCCCGCTTTTGTTTTGGGTGGGGTTTGTTTGCTTGCTTTAATTAAGCCCTTTGAACAGCTTAGTGGTTCTGCTTTTAGGCACCTAAAAGTCTCCGTGGGAGACTGGTTACCCCAGCCTGAGGCGTGGCACAGCCACGGTGGGGGCTGCCGCTCAGCAGTAAAAACAGGAAAATATTTTTTAAAATGTTACATCTTTGTGTTTTGTTTTGGGGTGTTTGTGTGTTTTGTGTTTGTTTTTTTCCTTCAGTTTACAGAGGAAGCAATACAAACATCAGCTTACAAAGACCGAAGAATAGTTACATAGGGGGAAGTACAAAATAGAAGTACGTAACAGTAACATTTTCATCTTCTTTGCTGCTAAATACTTAAGCCCTTCCCCTCCTTCAAAAGAAATAAAGTTTACTCAGTTTTCCAACAGTATTTGTACCATTTTTATTTGTAAAAATAACCATCTGAATGCATTGCAAGAGTAGTTTACAGTTAGGGTTCTTCATTACATTAATACAGCATTCAGTAGTTGAAAAAGTTAAAACTGTGCTTGAGAAGATTCAGGCTGAGTTTCCAAGTCATTCACTAAAGTAAGTCTTTTTCCTCATTTTGCATGTGACATTGACCCAAGTCCTCAAACTTCAATTTACAAAAGCAAACGATACTGACAAAACCCCACTGAAACCATCAAACAATATTTTATATTTTTTGTTACAAACGTTATGCAAAATATAACACTGGCACCAGATTCGTATCACCATGGTTCGTAAAGATATATTGCACATGCTGAAGCATAAAATATAAGACAAAACCTACAAAACATAAGATATTGGCTTTAATATGTAGATCACTGCATAAGAAACGCATAAAATTACATTTTATACACACACTCAGATTGTCACTAGTTTCAAACGCCCTTCCCTATAACACTGACCTAAGGTTTACTTTTTGTGTAATAAGAAAGCATTTTCAGCATTGCAAAAATTATACATTATTCCTATAGAAATTTAGCATATTAATTTTCATTTCAATGCAGGTAGAACATACGAAAAGAAGAAACACTTTATACATTCAAAGAAGGTCTGAAATGAAAATTTACGGGTAATAGATATTGCTTTTATAACACTCAAATGAAAAAAAGGACAAATTTCACAAAACATTTCCATAATACACAAATATAAAAAGGCACTCTAATGTTTCTTACATGACTAAGAATAAAAATCATGATTTTTTTAAATTTTTTTTTTTTAAGTCATCCTCAAGATACATAACCGAGTTTCTCAACAGTACAATGGATAAACAATTCATTTCATGTGTTTGTTCTAATTCGATAACCCGGCAGCTGTTTTACTGCGCGAAAGTACCAAACACATTATGGTGCCCTTTTAAGTAGCGATGAACAGAATTCCCCTGAGCTATTTCACAGCAATTTCAGGCAGTCTGGAGGTTGCGACTCGGTACTTAGGAGGGAGACTTGGGACCCCATCCCGCTAGGGATTCCACCTGCCGCTGTGGTTAAAATACAGATCGAAAGGATCCCACCGACACACCCAGGCAGGCGCCTGCCCCTTCCCAAAAATACCTTTTGCTTGGTGCGGACACGGGAGTCGTCCACGCGCCATAAATTGCAGGATCCAGGGTTAAGTGCAACAACTTAACGCACGACTAACTCTACTCTTGTAAAAAGTGTCCACGAGAAAGGCAAGGTGATTATTTACAAGAGTAAAATTATTCCCATGCTTAAATACCTGCCCCTCAGTTACAAATTCGTTCCTACACACGATGAATTATATTACAGATGCCTGTACTAGCCTACAACAGAAAGGGACTCAGTAACTCACGCGAGGTGTGGGACAGGCCGGTAGCGAGTACTTCCAAACGTCCTGCTCGTGACACTTTTCCTCCCAAACACAGCATACTCGAGACACGACTCTCGCAATGCCCTTAAGATGCCAACAAATCGTGCGCTTCTACCATTTTTTGGAGCACGGCATACTTACGTCACTGTTCGTTTACAGGCGCGTTTAATCAGTAAAGTTGAGGTTTGGTTCCTAGAAGGCTCCAAGTGATCCAGGAATGGCCAGTGCTTCTTTCTCTCCTGTTGTACGCATCTCGCTGGCCAGAGTTACAAGGTATTGCAGATATACAGCCTTTTTCTTTTTACCCAGCAACTCTGTACAGTAGCAAGCGAAAATACTGAATTTTTTGAAACAGTTGCTTAAAATAATACAACGTCCTCTTCATAAAGAGGACTGCTTTCCTCCTGATGAAGCAACATCGTGTCGGACAGCATAACTTTTGGGATTCCAGGGTGAGAATTATAACTAAACCTGCCAAGGAGCTTAACTACATCTCTGGTTAAAACAAGATTAAAAGGCTGATCCTAGTGTCAGCCATTTCCCATCTATTTGTTTTCAATGCCATCAATCCACATTAAAAAAAAAAAAAAGAGACCAAAATTTGTGATTTCTCTTAATTTCTGAACGGACACCACTGAAAACTTTTAATGACTGATCTCTCCTCTTATTTTCAATGCTTGATCTAAGGTGGTTATTGCTATTCTGCAACTTCTAAGAAAGCAAAAACATGGAGAAAAATCCATCATAAAAATGTTATTCTGTTTCCCGCGCAAGACTCCAGGCACCCTCGCGAAGCGCGTCAGCCCGTCCTGTGCCTACTCAGGCCATCAGCTTTGCCTAGATTCACATTTTTCATTTTGCTTCGTGTCATGCCAAGCCGTATGCACAAACGCTAATGAGGAGAACAAGCCACGGTTATTTTGTCCTGGGCATTCATTTCATTTCAAATAAATATAAAAGACATTTACATTAAAAGTATACAAACATATTCTTTCGTCTGGAAGAAAAGAACAACCCGTGGTCAACGCATCACCAGTTACAAACGTCGACTTGAAACCTGCGTTGTAAAATGTAGAATTCACGCAAGACTATTCATTACCTCAAAAAGTTTATAATTACATGGTTTAGAAAAACTACTTCATTGTGTCACTCACATTTGAAGAAAAAAATAAAAGTAGCAAAGTCTTCCGTTTAATTACTGAAGCGTTTTGGTCCTCTTGGTACAGCTGGTTAGTCCATGATACCTTTTTTTTTTGGTTTGGGGGTTTTTTTGTGTGGTTTTTTTTTTTTGTTTTTAAATTGTTTAAAAAGTCTCATTCTTCCTTTTGTACATCTGTTGCAGAGGAGGGTCGTGGTCCGTTTGACCTAGAAACTTTGGCAGAAGGAGTAAACATATTCACAAAGTTGACACTGCTTGAAAAGCTGGTGGCAAAAGGCTTTTCTAGTACGTCTCTCCAAGCCCCTGTGCAGTACACTGCTATGTTTTGTGGTGTTTGGTATTTCAGCTTTTGGTGTTCTGCTTTCATTGCTTTACCTTTGCTCCGTTAATGCAACCACTGGCAGAAGTATTTTCAAATTTGATACTGTTTACAGTAAAAATGAGTTATTTAAGCATAGAAAACGAGAAAAAACATCCTTTTAAGTTGGCAACTCATTATAAGCTTTTACATACACCTCTGTCTACACCCAATTTATTTTTTTCCCCTTTTTTTTTTTCCTTTTTTTTTTCCTGGTAGTAAATTCATGGTTAATGGCTCAGGTGAGAGAAACATCTAAGACCCCAGTCATTAGCTGTAGTGCAAATAAACCACGTGTTTGTGCTGAATTGAAAACAAATAAGGGGCCAAGTGGTTTTCATTTTATACAAGTGGTTCCACTAATGTCCGCAGGAAGATAGGGTGGGACAGATAGAATTTGGCCTTAAAGAGCTAATATCTATATTTTTCTAATGGTGTGCTGCAACTAAGAACTGTAAAAAGTGCCTTCCGTACATTTAAGTGCTAATAACACGCAGAATGTAAAAAGTTTCCTTTCCTGTAGAAAAGTAATACAGCCAGTTTTAAGATTTACAACTTTGGTTTGTGTAAAAAAAAAAAAAAGGAAAAAAAGAAAAGAAAAAAGAAAGCTAATTAACAGAAGCCCTGGCACGAGGAAACAGACAACCACGGGAAAGGGGTGATGCTTGAATCTATGAAGGCTACACTGGAAATACGTTTGTGTACTAAAGGTACAGCTAAAACGTGTAAGAACTTTTTTACAAAGAGTTCCCTGTTTATTTGTGCTGTCAAAAAGAAAAAAAAAGGCATTTTCTCTTTTTCTACTTAAAATAAGAGGTAGAGACTTTCCACAGGGGCACTTAGGGCCTAAAGAAAACATCAGGAAGCTGAAAAGCTGCAGAACATTAATGGGAATATGTTCCAGTAAATCCCTCTTAACTTTGTTATTAAAAGGCTTGATTCGCATCAGCGCTACAATGATCTGTCAATACCTACTTGTCAAGAACAATAGTTCAGAATGTAGCTGTGGGATTTAAGCTGTTTAAAAAGACAAAAGTAAAGCTGAAATGAAATAATAATAATAATAATGGGGGGGGGGCATGAAGGTTTTGAATACCAAAAAAAGTCAAAACGTTTCAGAATCCGAGTCGTTTTCATTGTACCCATCCTCTGTTCCTACGTTATTACTCAAGGGCTTATTGTAAGAGCTAACGCTGCCCGTGCTGGAGCCATCGCAGAGGTGTGTCCTGCCCGAATTGTCTTTTTTAAAACAAGCGAAGTTGAAAGCCGTCACTGAACTGGAAGGAGAAAAAGGCATCATGGTAGCCAAAATGAGTGCCAGGCAGTCAGCCACGTCTTTGTTAGGAGCGCAAGCCAGGGCGGGCGTATGACCTGGGCACAAACGCAGACAAGGCAACGGTTAGTACGGAGGGCACGGAGCCCGGCGCCGAGCATTCCTCAGATACATCTCTAGGGGACGTGGGGAGCGGGAGAGGGATGTTCAGCGGCGGTCATGCCAGGCAACGGGGGGACGGGGCTTCTTTGGAATTAGACATGCTGGGAAAATACACACTTTATGGAGCGTTTAAATCACCGGGACCACAACAAGCACTACTGTTTGTTTGCGTTTTGTTGTTTGGGATTTTTTTTTTAAACCAGGCGGCAAACAGGCTTCACGGTATGAATACAAGCAGTGGCTAAACACGGTCCTACAGCGCAGGCGGTGTGATGGATACAGAACACGGCGGCTGCGGCGACGGGGACAGAAACTGGCTCCAGTTTCTGTGTGCACAAACAAGTCTCATTCTGAGAACAACGACTTTCATTAGAATGGAAAAGGTATTAGTTTTCGAAATATTTTGAAGTAATAAGCAAACGATTTTGAAGACTGGTCAGCTGCATGTCCACTCAGCTGAGAAAGCAGTTTGTTTAGGAATTAAATTATCCAGGGAAAAGAATTAGACCATTGCATGTGCAGCAGGTATGACTACATGGATGTTTAGTTACTCAAGTTGTGTTAGAAGAATAACGACGGTGTTCAGAAAGCGTGGCACACTGTTTAAACATAAAGTTAATATTACGGAGGTGTCAGTAACACAAAGAACTGGGGAGCCATTAACAGCTTGTCTTCCCTGACTCCTCTTTGACCTGGCTCCTCTCCAAGCACTGCCCCTAAAGCAGCTCTTCACCTACACGGATGCTGGGAGCCAGCACGCTGACTGCCTGCTGCCCGTACATTTTGTTGGCTGCTGTATCGCACTCCAGCACTTTTCCAGCGAATCCGCCTTCAGGCTAAGGGCAAATCAATTCTTTTGCAGATGGCTGCAGCGATGACCACGGCCGATACCCTAACTGCCTCTGCGGGCAGGGACACCTGCAGCGTGGAGGAGTTTGGTGGACGTTTACAAGTGAGCACGGTTTTGCAGCAAACCACCCACACTGAGGCACTGACTGCAGTGAATGCACACCCTCAATGGGATTTCCTCTTCTACTGAGTTCCAAGTGTGAATATTCTTTACAGTTGGACTTGAAATGGAAATCACACTTAACGTTTGTCTTTTAAACTGCGTATTTTGACTGCAGTCATTCCTAGGACAATTAAGTGTGTATAAAATTTAAACTTGGATTTTAATTCGTTACATACGTGCAAATTACCTGTCTCTGTGTGTACCATTTTAACAATAGAAACTGTTGTTAGAAGCCTGGTTCATTTTTCCTTCCCCTATCTCTAGAATGAGGTTAGGGCCAGACACCTTCCGGGAACTCGCTCATGTAAATAAATCTAGGTAGCATCCAGTTGTTAGCAAATACTCACCACTCGGTTCTTTTCATCCATAGATCTCAAATGCCTTGCAATGATGGGTGAGTAATATTATTGTTACTTTACAGACAGAGGAAGATGGAGGCACTGAACTGTTACATTAATGTCATGAAGTCAGTGTCATAAGACAGACCAGCTTATTTCAGGAAGACCTTCTTGAAAAGGTTAATTACAGAAGCACGGCCCTCTAAGGGCTTTATAAGGTTTGGGGAAGGACTTCATTGAGATCTGAAACAAAATTATCAGATTCATTAACTAATCCTGTATTTTATGAGGCAATAATAATCTCCTTGCATCTTGGATTAGGTCAATTGGTAAGCACAGGCTTTGCTCTCAGAATGAGCTAGGACACAACCAAACACATGGTGATGGTTTTCTTCCTACCCATTAAAGCATGCGCTGATTGAATGCATAATCCTTAATTCTTCTGCAAGGCGTCAGAATTATCCGGTGCCACTTGCATGTTTAGGAAATTCAAGTTACCACTGCTCTCAAGCATTAAAAAAGACTAGCTGTTGACAGTACATGCAAAATGAACAGTGAAAGGGACCACTGTGATGTTCAGAATAATTTTTATATTCAAGGGAAATAACTAGTTGTGCTTTGGTTTATTTTATAATAGGTACTCACACAGCTTAATGTCTGTTCTTGAAAGGATAAAAGCATCAATGATGTCTATCATCAGCTTTTAAGTCTACTGCTTCGATATGTTGTAAAATTACCTGTTAGGTCCTACTGAAGATTGTCAAAGTGTATTATTGACTTACCATTTTCATCTACTGCCAGGACACATGCCCCTTTGGCTAGCAGCTCTTCAACCACCAGCTTTAAGCCATTTCGTGCAGCAATATGGAGAGGTCTGCAAAAACATAACAACTAAATTCAGGTTCAGTTTAAAATAGACTTTATGAAAAAAAGTTAGGTAGTACTTAAAGCATACCCAGCATCAGAAAAAGAATGTTTTCCTGCTTTGGAACATTACAATTATATTGTAGACATTGCATTATATTACAGCAATTAAATAATCCTCATGGTCCACACCTATAAAACATGTGTAGGACAAATATAATGACCTCCATATATACAATGATTGCTTAACATTTTCCAATCTAAAGGCTTTCTTTAAAAAGCTCTCACTGTTCACAGCACGCAGCTGCCATTTAAAAGGAAAATGAAGAAATGCCTTTGTTCCATCCTTAATTCTGGACACCACGGACTGTTCAAAACCATTGTACCGCTTTTTTATCCTTGAATACTCGATTGCTAACCTCTGTTACTGCAGAGCAGACGGGAATTAAAACTAACCACTGGTTTGCCCTTTTCCTGGGCTGACACCCAGTGCTCCACTTTGACGTTGGAAGGGGAAAAAAAGGGCTAAGATGGAATGAATTCTGCCACAGGCAGACGATCTGCCGCCTGAATTCCTGGTTGAACCTGCTACTGTGGGATTCCCCCATACCGGTCAGACACGGCCCATAATGTGTGGTATGGACAGGAGTTGCACATAAAATACCACCTAAAAACCCTCTGAAAATTAAATGGACCGCCTGAAGTCTAAATAAATTATTTAGATTTAAGGTGAAGCTCAAAACCCTAGGAAATGCCAGATGTGGACCTAAACATTCACGTGATCAATTAACATCTTGATACGGCCTTCCAATAAATGCCCTCATATAATTTTCCCACCGAACTATGTATAGAATTGGCATCAAAGGAATAAAAATTAAAAGGGAAAATGCAATAGAAATTTGGACTCTTCAAGGGCAAGCACTCAAAAAAAAAATACATTCAGAAATTAACTTTTTTGTTCTATGTAAAAATCTGAGATATGAATTTGAAATGCTAAATTGGAATCTTCTGGTAAGTCAACTGAACTCGAGAGGATCAGGCTTTACTTACGTCTGCAATGCATTATTTTTTGCATTAATAAGGCTCTGTTCTTGTATCTTGTCAAGTATTAACAAGGCACATTTTTCATGACCCTGTGGTCGGGGATAAAAAAAAACCAAATAGCATTAACTTGCTGAGGAGCTTGAAATTGAGGCAAAAGAAATGTTACATAAAAAAGTGAAATTTAGTAACTCAGTTTGAAATACAAAACAGACCACTCAGTCTATAAGGATATGTGTGTAGTAGGTGAACTGTAGGAGCCTTAAAATACCATTTATGCCCCGCCAGTGTTAGGATGCTTTAGCATATTTGGAAATTTAGACATTATCCCATCTTTCAACCCTCCATTCATGGCATATGAGTTCACCTTCTCAGCTTCCAGAGGAGACTCGTATTTCTCTTATATAGTAACACAGAAAGGGATGGTTTAATCCCAGAAACAAGTACTTCCCATGCCTTTAAATGACGTTCTGTATTATAAATAAGCTGTTTCAAAATTCCCTCAGCGTAAGAGCTCTAACAGTGAAACTTTGAAACTAATATAGAGCCGGGCCTTATTTTCTGTGGGAAAAGACAGAGGCCTTCCACTTACTTTACTGCTAGCCAAGTGCAAAGACGTATTCAACTCCTTATCCTTTAACGTCAGGTCAGCCTTGGCAATGTTCACCAAAAAGTCTGAGGCGTAGAACGAGAATCACCAAACAAACCCAAGGAGCAGAGGAACATGTGAAAACAGGAGAAGAACTGCCAGGTCAATATACATGTGCACACATGCTCATCAGTGAAGCCTTTCTGTGACGTGAGCTTTATGGCCACGAACTGAAAATAACCAAGGAGAACAGGCTCATCTCGTGCAGTTAACCAGCAAGCAAGGGCAGAGCCAACAGCTTATTCTTTGTGCCCCAAACTGCCAAGCATATATTAACCTTAATTTATTTGTGAACTTCCCCATTTACAGAAATGGATATAAAGAAAATAGGGTGCAGTCAGTGCTGCTGAAGGTAGAGAAAAGGGAATTCTGTTAAGCCAATAAGATCCTAATCTCTCTGTGTAGCCTGGAAAAAGCAGCTGCTGATGGCTGCCATTTCGAGAACAGCACTTCCCCTTATGAGAGATGGAAAAAAGGTTACACAATCTTTTTCACACACGCAGATTTACTGCTCCATAAAATCAAGGAACTAAACGGGAGAACAGAATTACTACTCCCATCATGCTCTTTACAGTGTGCTCTTAGAAGCCCAAGACTCAAGTTTGTTATTGCCAATGTCCACCAATACCGCTGAGAAGGAAAAGAAGTTTTTTACAGTTGTAAAGGTACCTTCCTACGGACACCCACATAACTTCTTTTCTTTGCTTAGTTTTCCCAGGAAAAATAAAAAAGATTACTTATTTGGGATAGTAACTGCAGTTGCACTCGCCCTTCGAGATGAACAGAGGCAAAGATGCACCTACCTACAGCACCTACGTGGCCGTTCTGAGCTGCCATCATGAGCGGAGTTTTCCCCGCGTGATCCGCAGCGTTCACTTGTGCGCTGTGGCTCAGGAGGAGCTGGAGGCACTCCACGTGATCCGCGAAGGCTGCTGCGTGAAGGGGCGTTCTGTGGGGAGAGGAACACGGCCACGGCTGGTGTGAGAGAACGGCAGTACTCCCGTTTCACTCACCTTCCCAGAAACCTGAAGGTGCAAGACATTTTTTATTTTCTTATTTTCCTATGAAACTTTGTGTTATCACCAGGAGGATGTTACGGTAGCAGCAACTCAAGTGAGTTAAATGATATTTACAGCCTATGTCCTGGTGCAGCACGAACTTTCAGAAAAAAGGGAAGCACAATGTGGATATGGTAGCGTGGAGGTACGATGCTGCGGAGAATCTCACACTAGGAGCATGTTTATTTTAACAGAACATACTGCGTAATAGGAAAAGCAGTGCAATCCCTCACATTTATTCATCTGATTTTATTTTTTTTAACAAGCCTAAGATGGGAAGAACTATCAGAAAAGAACAGATCCATTATTTTAGAAACCGTTTTAAGTCATACTCAAAAAAACCTGCAGCAACAAGCTACAATAAAAGTAGTATTACAAAAGGCAGAAGGAACTCAATCCACTTAGAAGGTTATTAGATTCCATGAGACTCGACACTAGAATTTGTTCGCTGTCTCTCTATAGAATTTCGGGTCTGAAGTGTGACTAACAAAGATGAAGGCAAGTTGGTAGCGCCCCAGCTACTGGTGTTACTTCAGGCGATCAGTAAGGGTGAGGTGGTCTTACCCCTATAGGAGTAAGTAATCACCATCACTGCAGGTCTTGAATCTGTCTGAATTAGCAGACAGTTCAATTTTTAGAATTTCAGCAATTTCAATTTAAAAATATTTATGTATGCACACACCCACATAGTGAGATTATCAGCGGGACACGTTAAGGATGTGGCTGAATGCACACGCCTTGCTCTATCAGTATGATTTTGCTGCATAGATGTTTTGAGCTGCGTGCCATGAGAACGCTAACATAACATTAAAATTTTTAATGAAATACTCTTCTATGCATGATATCACTCCATTTAGCAAAGAGAAACCACCTACAGTCACAGCTGTTCTAAACAAACAAAATGCCATTTCTTTTGTATTTCTTTTCACAGGAACTATGAAATAGAATACTTGATAGTATTCTTGCTTCAAGTGAGCCACCATTTAATTCTGTCTCAATGTAAAGTGCTGCCTGAAAGGGTCAGCGCGACAAGTCTTAGTTCAACCATATCAGATAAAGATTATGGAAAATACTAGATGGAGTCACAAAGACGAAATGCAGTTTAAGAAACTATTACCTTCCTTTGTCATCTTTGCAGTTGACAATGCTGGCATCGATGGCTCCGATGAGCAGGGATGCACAGTTTTCATGATCGTTGATTCTGCCACAGAAAAGACATTTTCAGAAAGGTAAAAACTCTCCATCTTTTCCCACTTTTCAGTATTAATTTACTTCACTTCCTATTAATATTTATTTCTTACTGGTTATTTATAAATTACCCAGACATAACTTTGTTCTCATGCTTTCAGTCATGGTTCTGATTATTCATCATCTCTCCATTTAACCAAACTGGACCTGCTCCTATGAATTTCAGTCTCTGAAGCAATGCTGATCCTCCAATTCATGAGGCACAAACTCGGGATTAAAGCCTTTAATACCTTAAAATCCCTTGGTCTAAATGCCAAACACACCTGGATCTGGAAGGCAATCAGTCAAGATACCTGTGCATAGAAAGCTTTATTCCGATGTTTTGGGTAGTGAAGCCCACATCATTTCCAACTCACACATTTTTAATACTGTTTGTACTCACTTAATACTCTTTCTGGTTACTGTTAACTTCTCTCATTTCATTATGAAAATGAACAGTGTTTAGTAATGGTATTGGGCATATAGTCTAGCTAACACACATCCACCCTGGATTAGCAGCTATTTTCACTTTAAATTTGCAGAAATTTTAAGTTGCACACATTTTAACGGGTCTGAGAATTACATATTAGTTTAAAAAATATGAATATTGGAAAAAAAGTACAAAGTCATAACTAGAAATTCAGATTTCAAATACCATATTTCAGTCACAGATTATTTTATTTTAAGCAGAGTAAAAACAGTGCTTTATATATGCTTTTTTTCATCTGATATATTGGCCTCTTATAATTTCAAGGTTTGATACATGACAAATGACTTTTCTACTCTCTGGCAATGTGGACTGTAGAAGTGAAGCCTACACAGTAGTAACTCCTATCATTATTTCTGGAAGCCTTTCATTCTTCTAAAAGAACACAGAATAGAACACAGTCATTATAATTCTTGGCAGAAATTAGCATTTGTTTTTCAGTGCTTAATTCCATACTCTTCCAATGGCTTACGTGTTTTAAGAAGTGTGTTAGGTTCTACAAATGAAGTAACCTTGCATTTTTAGAAAGATGTGTTTGCAATTATGTTATGAAAAGTTACAATTTTGTTCTGCTAGAGTCATTCCCACATGAAAACAGACTGCTTTCTTTAAGTAAGTGTGTATAAAATACATGCATGGAAGAAGATGAATAATTTGTAATAGCCACCACCTTTTTGTTGTGCTTAAGTAATAGGAAAAATTTGGATACAGAATCTGCCTCTATAACCAACCAGTCCCTTTGGCTAGAAGTTGGATAAGAAGTACTAAACTTTGAAAATAGAGAATATCTCAGAAGCAAAAAAGACCGTGAGAAAGATCAGTCTGGAAAATCCTCGGCTAAGGATGTCTTGGAAAAAATGTAGCCTGCACAGAAGATCATACTAGCACGACATGGGTTGTTGTTTCCAATCCTCTCACGAACGCTTTTTTCCTACTGTTAGAAATAATCATCTTGATTCTGACAAATTTCTTAACTTTCAGACCCCGGGTTTCAAAGGAACCTCAGAAGCTCATGCTTACACTGACCAAGGCACTATAGCCCAGGTCGTGGCCTAAGAATGGAAGAGCCATGAAGTTCCAGACTGCGTGCAGAAAAGGCATAGGTCTATAGTCGTGAGCAAGGGAAAAGGAACTAAAGGGGAGCAGAAATGCAGCTATTTAATTACAAATTGGAATTTCATCAAGTAGCCCAAATGTATGAAATGTGTATAAAAGTGTTCTTTACCCTGCCACTTTTTCAGCAGAAGTATAAGCACAACTTTACGATCAGCTTTAAAATTATTTGCTCATGCAAGTAGTCTGAGGATAACAGAACAGAACAAAAGCTTTCTTCCCATACTACTACATTTCCCAGGCATATCTTAAAGTATTTGCTACTGGAGATTTCTACTTACACGGCACAGTGCAATGGAGAGAAGCTATTACCATAGAATGTGCGGAAAAGTTTTTGTTCCAATAGTACCTCTAGGCAGTTTTCATGACCTGTAAGAGACAGGACATTTAAGTGTTGCACAAAGCAAGTAATTCACTTGATTCATATTAGGCTTGTACAGATTAAAATTTAAGACTAAGTTCAAAGTTGAACAGAATGTATATATATATGCTTTCATGGAATAAAATCATTAAAAGATTTGTTTTTTAATGGCAGCAGCAAGATAGATGCAGGCTAATAGCAGCACTTACTGAAGAAAAGGAAAGGAAAGAAAATCTCCTTCTGACGTGATGTTATGTAGGTTGCCTTACACATCTCCAAATTGGTCTTAAGTTTTGGGATGAGGAACCTTTATCCTTACATTAAGCAACAAATTCAGATTATCCAGTTTAAAACAATCAGCACAGTTCACAATAACCATCTAGTCCTGTGGTCTTTCACATCCATAAATAAGGAAGTGACACCTCAAAGGAGCATTTCTGGCCCCACAGAAATCAATGAGAATTCTATCACCAACACTAGTAAAACCAGAATTTCGCCCTGGCCTCCTGTGCCAGGGAGCAACTGAGCTGCAAAGCCACAGGCAAGTATTGCTGGAATTCCACCCCAAAGGGTGAACGTGGCAGATGCCAGCTCTAGAGAGTGAACGGAGGGGAGAGAATTTGCCTCTTCCTTTCAACCTTCTCAAAGCGTTAGGCTGCTTTGCTATCATGTTTCCCTGAATCTGAGGCTGCATTTGGGCTTGGCAAAAGTCTATGAGGAGGAACTCACCGTTGTAGCAAGCCCAGTGCAGCGGTGTGTAACCTTGGTTATCTTTCAAACTGCAGTCCTCCTCCGAAAGTGCCACCTGCAGTAACTCACTCAGCCAAGTGGCGTGACCCCGAGCTGCTGCGAAGTGCAGCGGCGTCCTGCCTCTGGCGTCTTTGCACAGAATAGATACTTCTTTCTCCAGCAGCATCTGAACGCACTCTTCATGCCCGGTCATAATCTGAAAACAAGGCAATAAGTAAAGAGGTTGACATACTACAGACTTTTGCCCAGGAAATACAGAATAGGATCGATGCCTGTGAACTGGAAAGGGCCTAGATGGGATTCAGAAGGCAGAGGTGAAAGCTCCTTTGCTCTCACAACTATCTGTGATGATAACTGATACACTGAAATGTATTTGCTGCTGTCTTTTCAAAGACACTGGTTCTGAGTCTGTGGAAGATACTCCACGAAGTGAGGCACAAAAGCAAGGAGGAGTTTAAGGAAACAGATGAACAAGGGCTGAGGTTCAGAAAACCTGAGCCTGGCCTCTCAAAACTGTGTATAAATGTGAGAGAAAACTAAGAACTGAGAAGAAAAATGGCTCAAGAATATTATCAGAAATATAAAACGCTGCTTTATCAGCTGGCTGGCCACTATCAGTGATGGCTGTATCATACAGGTTGGCGCTGGGCTCTTGGGCACGTTCAGGTATTGCTGTCAATGCAGAACAGAATTATGCCATAGCTTTTTTTGCAGACTTGTGCTGGGCTCCTAAGCTGAACC